CACTACACAAATTTCTGCACATTATTTCAACATCAAATAAATTACTCAGTTGGTTTCGTTGAGGTGACTGGTGCCGTAATTACGATCGTGTTAATTACATGATTGCCGCAAAGTTTTAAAAATGGGTTGTTTAAATTCCAAGTCTATTTCTGCGGACGAACGAGACCCACCTCCCGAGTCAGGGGTTGAGGTCAGGATTCCTGAGCCAGTGGTCGGGAGTCCAGAGCCCCACCGTTACCCCATTCTTATTTTAGATGTATATAAAACCCTAAATATTTTGTACCGCCTAGAAAACCCTACTATATTACCTTTCGTTACAGACTCCCATCCAGCAAGTAATCCCTCACGTGTGCAAATTCCTTCGTGTCAAAGACGTCAAAAGGTGTCGGCTCGTTTCCAAATCGTGGAACGACTCCTTCACACCCATCCTCAAGGAGAGGACAACGGTCAGGATTGTACTCGATCCTCCCGATCATGACGAGTATGAAGACCTACTAAGCCAGAAGGAGAAATATAGCGATGTCGTGGCAAAAATGGCATTTTCTCCAGTCAATATCGCCCTAGTGATTTCAGACAGCTACCAATTCTTCCTACCACCCCGGGACCCCGAAATATTTCTCTCGGTCAAAAATCTAAAATACGTCTTTGTCATGTTCTTGGTAGAAGATCAAATGGAATGGAAGAAGGACTTGGTTCTGAAAATTATCCAGAATTCGGCCGCCACTTTGCAAAAATTGAAATTTTTATGGGACGACGAACTAGCTTTTCGGTCACTTCGTGGCACCGTTTTCCCAAAATTAATCGAATTGGAGGCAAAATACACCGAGGATGAGGAATATGTTAACGAGGAAGCTTTGGAAAATATTGGTTACGCAATTACCGAGTCGTTTCCCAGGTTGGAATGTCTCAAAATGGAGAGCCGCGATTTGAATGAGATTGCAAAGATGGGATTTTTGCCAAAGTTTCCGCTGTGAGTTGGGCATGAGTGGGGGAATGTGAAGCACGAAGGGTTTATTTTGGTAACGATGTGTTTCCTATGTAATTTGCAGATCACTTCATAGTTTGGAATTGAGCGGGGACTTGGACTCGGCAGGAATGGCGCTTCTGTTGCAAATTCCGGGTCCGTTAAAGGGACTGGCGTTTGGTCCAATTTTCCTGGATCGTCATGACAACCAGGTCGACGAGGTGCCAATGAGTCTGTACAAATTTCTGAAAAAACATTCCTCCACGTTGGAAATGATTTTTATTGGGCTGGTTTTGCGAGATCGCGACGATGACATGCAATGGAGAATTCCAACATTTCCCAAAATGAAAGATTTTGGAATCTGTACGGGAGGCAGCTTTAAAAATTTTGAGTTCGAAACCAGCCTCGGAAACTTTGCAAGGATTGATTACGAGCGGTGTTTTCCTGTCTTGGAAAGCTTGAGTGTTACCACGCTAACTAAAGATATATCCGGTGTGGTTGCATTTTTTCCGGAAGAAGGTAACGTATGTAGGGTTAAGTCAGTGAGAAAAGTTTTGCTCGAAATGCATGAGATGTCCAACACTGGGGGAAGTCACTTTGTTCTCACAGGACTTTACAAGCGATTGGTGGAGCTATTTCCGGACGCGAGAAGATCGGTAATTAAATTCACGATTTTGTGAGATATGTGGAATTTTTGCTATAAAATTGGACATATATTTGTTCATCTACTTTTCAGGTAATACACGGTTAAATAAATCCGCTCCATATTTATTTGAACAGCAAATATTTGCACAAGTATTAGTCTAAGCTTTAGGTGAGTCGCGAAAAAATGTTACTGTATTTTATACAATGGAAATCCGTCATGGGGTTGATAATGGATAGATTATTCTAAAAGAAGAAAAATATTGAAAGTGCCCTCAAACACTAGATTATTTAAGAATTGTTAAATAAATAGCCTTCTTTTGTGAAATTTCTATTATGTTTTGGCGACTTCTCCAAATCTTTGTAGCAAATTATTTGCGCATTACGCCAAAATTATCTATCAGCAAACACTGCGGCGTGCGGCCTTTATTATTGTCATGGAACATGAACTTATGGGATAATGACAATATAATAACAATAATGATGGCGAGATGCTGGAGTTGAGACAAAGCGAAAGATAGTTTATTAAAGGAGAGCTGAAAGTGGAGTGATCATACTTGTGTATCATTCATCTAATTATACAATGATTAAGGCTGGACATAAGCATGTATTACTTTCATCCTGACATTATCAATTATCATTCCAAATTTATAACATGAGCTGTTTCGTCTTGTGTGATGTCAAAATATTTATGAAACCCGTTACAATTAATCAGTGAACGTTAGTGGTTCGGTGTGTATGTAAATCATAGTGCGTAACTGATCAAGTGTGTGAAACGCTTTGGTGTGTATGTAAATGAATACTGAATTTATACAATTTACTGGGTGCGAATTATTTATTAGTGAAATGCATATATATGTACAGTATGTAAAGTGGAAGATGGCGCAAAACTTAAGGCGTTACTCCGATAGCATTATCTCAGCGATGAGTGCATATTTCAAAATCTATTTTCTACCATATATTCATCATATATTAGTGTAGGTATTTGCCAAGTTTCATTTAAATCAGGTTAATATTGGAAATTCTAGTGCAATTTTATTGACCAAAAAATGTAAATGCACGCCAAATTAATAATGGCACAAATGCATTACCACTTCCAATATTATGCATGAGTTCTATCATGCGTTTATCCTTATTTGCATAAACTCCAGCAAGGTTAGCTAGAGTTTGGACCATGTTTGACGACTCTAGTGTCATCACAGTTTTCAGGGGAAGAGTATTTGTCAGCCTCTTTTCAGCCCCCGATGCATCAAGATCACGCTAAGATTCCTCATCGGGCTGCGATTAGAAAACTGAACAACTTAGTCCGAGACCTTTATTTTGTTACCTTCCAACAATTTCAGAATGATTGGTTTGGTTAGGTTAGGTTAGTACTCAGGTTGTGTTAGATTAGGTTAGAATGCAATTGGAATGGGATTTACATTTGATGGGAATACAACGATCGTTCGGTACACTGCCCAATCGCAGATTTTCCAAATCTTCTGCTAGCTGGGGGAATTATGTTTATCATCTACGTTTACGGCCTACCTTTGTCCTCTTTTTGCGCCAAGGAAGTCGCAAAGTGTGTCAATGGTTTGGGGAAAATTGCAGCAACTTGCTGGCTCTTTACCGCTGCAGTATTAGTTTATCCGCCGCATGTTAGTAATAATTGGTGGGAGCGTAACTATTGTGTTCCTATGGTGTATAACTTTTTGTGGTGGTGTGTCACCCTCTGCATTGGAGGGGTGGTTTTGTATTTAATCGAAGTTATTGACAAGTTATTGGAAAGGGTTTTTAAATACGTCGCAGCAGTGCTGTGGGAATGAAACTTGTGTGGGGGTTCGGAATTGGGAGAATCTGGCAAAAATAATCAACTCGGCAGGTTTTGAAGCCTGGATCTCTTCCTGACCGGGGAAGCGCTCTACGGACTGAGCTACGTAATCGAGTTATGATTGCCCTCCCAACTAACCTCCTCACACACTATTCTCTCACAGTGCCTAAACTACCCTGCTAGAGATGGTAGGAAAACTTGTTCAGGCGCTTCAAAGCGCTCGCAAGCTACACTCTATTACACATTTCTGCTCTTTTAGTACGTCTATTCCAACAATGTACAATAAATTGGAAAAATTAAGCTGGTGAATGCATAAGTTTCATATACAGAGGGATGGGCAAGATTATAGCACGAAGATTGACCTTAATTTTGAGTCCGAAGAACATCTTGGAGAGTATTTTTGACTTCTTCATCATGTTCCCCATCCTTTTCTGATGAGGAATGATGTTGTCAATTAGAAAAATCAAAAATTTTAAGGGACGTTTCAGAGGTTACTTTCATTCACTCGTCAAAAAAAACTTTGCAAAAGTGTTAAACAAAAATGGTGGTCTTTTGTATTTTGCTGTTGTAATTCCTCAGATAACAAAAAAAGTACCGAAAATGCATAATTTGACAGAACTAATATATCTTTACGCGAAACAAATCAATTTCCGAACCGTTTTGAAAAAGTGAATTTTTGCTGAATGATATTTCTGGCGAAGTCTAAAGTAGCAAAATTATTACCAATTCAAATGTCAATACTAAAATTCCCAAAACTGGTCAGAATATTTGTGTACATGTTGGGGAACATTTATATTATCATTTGAGAGAAATACGAGATAAGAGGTGGGTGCTCGGATCCACCATCAATTCATATATCTCATCGCAGATTTTCATTATGCTCGAGCCTTAAATAATGAATAATATAGTAAAATTTTGCTCTGATTTACTATCTGAAATTAAATTTATTATCAACGATAATAGTTTCAGTCTGTATAGTTAGTTCTCGTAATAACTTTCTCCAGGCCTAAATGAAAGCAGTACGTTTTATTCCTTCATTGAAGTCGGTTCTTTATTAATATTATTTTTTATTGAATTTTGTATAAGCTAGTTAAATGGGACTTCATATATTGGTAAAAGTAAAATGTAAAAGTTTTATTTAAGTTAGAATTTATTTTAGGTAGATAACGTAGTTAATATGATTTTATATTGGGACATAGGACAGGAATTTTTTAATATTTGTCTTATATATATATTTAGATTTGTTAATATTAATTTCTTATACATAAAGATGATCTGCACTGGTGCAGATGGCGAGACGAGACTCATAACCAAGTAAATCTGATTAGATCTAGAATTAGTCATGACGTAGGAAATATTATGTACTTACTTTCGTACCTTGAACAGGAACCGGCGTAAGACGGGCTTATTGGCTAGTGCTGTATATTTGTGAACATACATGTGAACGACCCCTAAAGTGCTTGACGTTTATGCTCAAAATTATCATTAATTATTTTAAACGTCTTCTGAAATTATTTGTCTGTTGGTTTGGTCTAAATGGAAAGAGACAAAGGTTCAAATACAAGAAAAGTTGAAACATAAAACTTTAGGAGATTGACATCATTTATTGCTATTACTAGATTAAACTAAGTTTGTTTGTTTTTTAGTCTAAGCCTTCTGTCATCACTCTCATTGTTTGTTCTTTCCCCCGTAATATAGCGGTAAATTAAATGTAAGTACTAGATAATAACTTTAATCTCGCCTTTAATTTAGCAATACGTGGTCAATCAAATGAATGAATTTCCATATAATAAACCTGCGGTTTAATTTCGCACACTCAAAACGTTCTTCAAGCCGTCAACCAACTTGTCAATATGTTCATAATCTTTAATAGAAACGCGTATCCAATTATTTCCTAACTTAGGAAATTCGCTTCCGCTTCTAACAGTTAAACCCATCTTATTCAATTCCTTAGCCATATTTTTACTGAATGAATTAATTTTTAACAGGACAAAAGCGGAGCTAGACTCCACAATTTGAATATTATGGCTGAACAGCTTTCCAATTTTTTTCGTCATGTAGTCTCTCCTTTGGGTGTACATTTCTTGCGTCCTACCGATATAATCAGTTTGCTTTAATAGCCACGGAATTGCAGAAAGTGAAATCGGCGAGACGCCATAAGGGAGTAAATATCTTTCGTACATTGTAGAAATAAGTTCAGAATTGGACACTGCAATCCCAATTCTCAGCCCAGGCAGTGAGTATATCTTCGACAAAGAGGATACGACACAAATATTCGTAGCTGTGGTGATATATGGTACAAGACTTTTTAGGTCCGACTGTGAAAAATTGATGTATGTCTCGTCCACAATAAAAAGAACGTCAGGATGTTTGCAGATTATTTCCAGAATTTTAGGGTTATCTAATTCGGTGGCAGTTGGATTATTTGGATTAGCTAGGTAGCACAGATCTACCCCCGTACTACTTAATGAACGCTCCAACTCATTGTAGTCCAGCTTGAAATCTGGCTCTAGCAATGTTAATCTAAAAATACATTTTTACGGTTTAACAGAAGAATTCTCCCTAAAAAGATACTTACTATTTGGTTGCTCACCTAAAAAGCGGTTGTGCGTCTCCGTGGGTCCGCCTGTAGAAATACTCATACTCCCAAAAACATGGCTCTATAATTATAGCACCGGATTTTGAAAATATTGGAAAAATTGAAAGCAACTCTGTAGCCCCGATACCTATCGCGATTGAGGATTTTGCAACTTTGAGAAGATTGGCTAACACAGTTCTGGTAGAGTGATGTTTGTCGTCTGGATAAGTGGAGAAAGATGCTTGTACTTCAAGGCAAAATTTGGCAAACCCTTCAGGAGGACCGAGAAAATTTAAATTGTTGCTGAAATCAGACGACATTTCGTTAGATTATTACATGGAAACAAACAAAACAAATATATATGTATATAGACAGCAAATTTCAGTGAGACCAAAAAAATTGTGTTAAATTGCTACAGGTTTGGATGCTTTCAGGTTGACTGGACGAATAATATTTGACAAGATAGAACGTAATAGCTTCGCCGTCCTTTAAATAACCCTTTGTCCTCTGAATAATTTAAAACAAGAATAATTCTGGGATTTGATGTGACGGAGTGTGCATCATTTAGTTGACGCCTTACCAAATGTATACGATAAAAATTTTCATGGTATTACCCTGAAACCCGTAATGACAACATTCGCACACGGCACATTATTAACGACAAACATGTTTCTGGAATTCAATAGATAACAGGAACAAGCAACTAATAACACCCAGGATGTTTATTTACGTTGCACAATCAACTAAATGAAGTCATCGGATGAATGAAGTATATTATTTAGCAGGATCAAGTCTCATCAAACTTATCTGTACCGTTCGTCAATCTGGATTTTCATGGCATGGAATGGGAGCAAAACAAATATGTATATATATAGCAAATTTCAGTGTGACAAAAAAAAATGAGTTAAATTGCTATAGGTTTGGTTGCTTTCAGGTTGACTGGACGAATAATATTTGACAAGATAGAGTTTAATAGCTCCTCTGTCCTTTAGATAACCTTTGGTCTTTTGAATCATTTCAAACGAGAACCATTCTGGGATTTGATGTGACGGATTGTGCAACATTTGGATGACGCTTTACCAAATGTATATGGTAAAATTCTTCATTGTATTACACTAAAACCCGTAATGACAACATGGCATATTATTCACGACAAACATGTTTCTGGAATTCAATAGACAACAGGAACAAGCAAATAAAAACGCCCAGAATGTTTTTTTACGTTGCACAAGTTGCACAATCAACTAAATGATGTCATCGGATGAAGTATATTATTTAGCAGAATCAAATCTCATCAAACTGGATTGTCATGTCATGAAATATGAGCATGAGTCTAAGGAGTGCACATCGTCTACCACTCCCTCCCCAAATTTCTTATCTCATAGAATTCGAAACTTTCGATTTTTTCAAAAATATGCCTCACGGGGAATGCTGTCATGAGTATCTCGTGTAAATTTGGGGTCAATCGGATGAAAATTGAGCGAGAAATAGTGTTTTGAATCGACCATGTCAAATTTGAGAGTACGGGGCACTCTGATATATTTTTTAAATTTTTTCAAAATTGTTTTTGGCGGTTTTCAAGAGGTAGTAATCGAATGAGCAAACAGAAATCCAAATCAAAATTCGAAAAGGTACCCAACCTACCTTGTTAACTATGGAGTTAGTCATTTTTATTTTTATTTGTATGGCTTTGTTATGACCATAATCGGGTTTGAAAGTCAAGTGCATATATACAATAGGTAGTATACGTAAAGAAAATGCAATTAATTGCATTTTATTGTTATTTTTAAGTTCTATGTTAATTCTATTTCTAAGTTATATGTTGATGCTTTTGTCCCAATACTTATTGCTATTAAAACACAAGGTTATACATCTTTGCGTTTATTGATTTACTAGCGAATAAACCCGTCTTACTACGGTCGTATGTGGAAGTTACGAAAGTATGTAGTACGCATATCTGGTGCGTCTACTTCGTCTAACCCAACTAACCGGTTCGGCTCAAACCGTGCTGCAGCTACATAATACAAATCATTCTCCATCCCCGTCCATTTCATCGGGGACGGCTTTGGCCCAAACGTGTCCCCTGGCTCAACCACGGCCGTAGCAGAACCCCACCGCTTTTGATAGTATTTCTGGTCCCTGTCCTTGTCCTACTCCTGGTCATCGTTCCCCTCCTGGTTCTCGCTCCTGACCTGGTTCTCGATCCTCCCCACCTCCCATTTCCCACCCACCGTGCACCACCCACATCACACCCTACTCCAGCCCTACAACCGGTTCCCCTACATTCACCAACATATTCTCGTTCCCGTTGTCGTCCGCGTCCTCGTCCTATACTTTTGGCATGCCAAACCAATATATCTGGGGGACTCTGGTCTACGTCCGATCTGCAGACGGGAGACCTGATATTTGATCTAATAGACAGGTCCGGGTTACATCTGGTCGGCAGACCGACGATCCGACATTCTCATACAGGATATGGCGTCAGGGGGACGTCTGGTCTGCAAACGGACGACAACATCTTGTTCCCTGATACCCGTTTGATACCCGTAACATTTTCGCTTAAATTCATAAGTAAAATTCGATAATGCTTTACTCTAATTAATTGCTGCATTAATTTGATCACTAACAAATCATATATCAAAAAATGTTCTACTTCAATTTGATATGCACAATGTCTCATCAAAAGTTCTTTATTGTCAGAAATTATGTGAAAAAAATTAAGGGTTTACTTGTATGTGTCGTTTATAATAATCATTCATACTTTTATTATGCCCTTTTTTTCTCAATTGCATTTATTTATTTATTTCAAATCACATATTACAAATGAAATTACAACATACAAAGCAAATCACATTACTAAAAATTATGCACAAATGAATCACATCCTGTTTAAAACACCAATTGAACTTCAATAAAGCAATTACCCTAATCTACTGAATGCCACTTATATCACATATATACTTGTGTATGTATTCTGTGTGCTAATCAAAACTCAAGAGCATGGACAAACAGGAGCCGCCTAAGTGTGTGATGGTGTGTGATGGCGATTTATGTGACAGTTAATGTAATTAGACTTCATGGACTTTGATGTACGTTTAAGTAAACGTGTACAGAAGCAAAGTCGGTAAATTCTTGAATATGAGTTTCATTAATGTAGATTATAGACCATAATTTGCTCTGGGTATGGTTTCAATAGCGTGGACGGACATAACTTTTACACCAATAGCAATTGTGGACAGGTCTCAGATAGGATATATAAAGAGTCGATCTTGTTCCATTTTACTCATTCTATCAAAAACGTTAAATTCTGACTTCAATTGAAAAGTTATTCTGACTTGTCTGCTAAGTTACAACTCACTTCCTTTACAATGGAGAAATCAAGTTTTGTCCGAAAGGAAGAGAAAGCCGAAATTTTTGAAATTTTCACCCGTGCACTTCAGATAGGAATAGATTTTAAGTGTAAAACAGAATTCCGAAAATGCTCTGGTACTTCAAGCGACCTTAAAGACAACGATCACCAATTTTCTGAATTGATGAGCAAAATTTTTTCGAAAAGCATGCCATCAACCGGAACCGACATTTTCGATTTACTGTCGTTTGTGACAGAAAATATTGTTGAGCCTAGTACTAACTTTGGATCACCATATGCAATGGCATTTCCTGACGCTGGTAATTCTGTAGCTGGTATTTGCGGAGACATCCTAACTGCGTTCTTAAACCAAAATCTTATCAACTGGACACCCTGCTCTCCTTCAGCCACCGTAGTTGAAATCACAGTCATCAGTTGGCTTCGTGACCTGCTTGGCTATACTGTAGCCTCTAATATTTCCGCCCCAATAGATGTTGGTGGACTTATTACTTCTGGAGGCGTTCTCTCAAACACAATTGCATTGCTTTTGGCAAGAGAAAGTGCCATGCCGGACTGTATGCGGGTAGGATTTAACTCTAAGGTAAGTAAGTTTTGGCTTGTTAAACTGACAATGAAGATTGATCACTATTGTCTGGGAGTCCCTAGTGGTCGTATTTTGATTGTATGCAAATTTTAGGGGCAACTTTTTAACCATCGTGTGTTTTAAAATATGAATGATCATAATATATGAATGATCATAATATACCATACGATAAGTATGTTTCAAATATTCTTATACTTTATGTTCTAGAAAGGTGCGACACCTTCTATCATTGTACCGGATGGCATCGACCATTACAGCTCACGGATTTCCGCCGGTTGGTTGGGTCTTGGGGAAGCCAACGTTTTCAAAGCTCCTTCAAAAAACTTCAAGTACGATTTGGATGTTTTGCCCCAAATCGTTGCGAATTTGAAGTCTTCTTCCCACAAACCCATACTTCTGGTCTGTTACGCGGGGGATTCACGATCAATGTCAACAGATAATTTTAAGGAAATTCGCCGTATATGTGACACATATGGGATGTGGATGCATGTTGATGGGTGTCAGGGTACTCAGTTAATTTTCTCCAACAAAAATCGTAGTAAAATTCACGGTATCCACTTGGCCGACAGCGTAACCCTTGATCCACACAAGGTACTTGCTGTGCCATATGCCATATCCGTATTCCTCGTTAAGAATCCGAAACACCTTGAAACTATCAAGCGACCTGAAGACATTATCACTGGAGAAAAGCACAGCTTTGGACAAATAACCCCTTTCCAAGGAAGTCGCTCGTTTGCATCCTTGAAGTTATTCATGATGATGAAACATCTTGGAAGGGAAGGAATTGGGAGGATGATTGACAGAAGGTGCTGTTTTGCAAAATTTGTTGCTGAAGTAAGTCATAAATGATTTATTAATGACGGAGTTTACAAGTTTCAAGTGTACCGTTCTGAAGAGTTAATTTCTGATATAGATGGTAAACGACTCAAAGGACCTCGTCTTAGTGAATCCTTCCGTAGATATAAATTCTGTCATTTTTATGTACTGCCCAGAGGACTTAAGAATGCTGCTCAGAAACTCCAAACATGAGCCATCGTTTTTAAATCTTGTGAATGAGGGTAATATGGAGATTCAACGGAGACTCTTTTTTTCTGGACAAGTTTGGCTTCATTCGTTCTCAATTCCAGATTTATGTGAAATATTTGGTGACTCGAAGCTCATACTTCGTCCTTTAAGATTCATGAGCGGAAATCCAATTCTTGACGAGCATCATGTAAAAACAATGATAAACAAGGTTGAGGAATTTGGCAGAAAAATCTTTAGCCAAAAGCTAACAGTCAACAACAACTACGTTGAAGACAAAGTCCTTATAGATACCTCATTTGTTCATATAGCTTCCCCTTCATTCAGAAACAACCTAAATTGTGAGAATACTTTCCAATTCTTACCATTGGAAGAATTTTGCCAAAGAAAGTCTCGGATAATTCAGTATGTTCGTTCTTATATGGCGAAGACGCTTGGGGTGAGAGAGTCCAGCAAGTACTTTGTGATTATTTACGGGTCCTATGCATATTCCTTGGTCCGGGAGGGCTCGGATGTGGACATTTTTGTGGCGGTGGAAGACTCCATTTACTCCACGCAGTTGAACGATGAAATTGTCTCGTTTATCGACGAACTTCATACCCACCATGGATTAACTAAAGAAGATGAAGTCCCACCTGAGGTGAAATCCTTGCTAAAATTTTCTTTTCTTGAGGAAGCATGCAGTGGAGTAGGAATACGCAATGGAAATGGCGAATGGAAATTTCCCGACATAGTGAAATGCAATACTCTACTTTCATCTAAATCATTCCTTTTGAGATTTTTTCTGGGTGTTCTGGCTAACTCGGGAATATTTGTTTGCGGAAACCATGCAAAATATCTTGAGTTCAGGACTACTGCAATACAGACACTGATAAGAGCAGTCTCGAGTGTCTTTGAAAGAAAGAAGGTTTCCAGCATCAGTTTGGCTAAAGATTTTTGCACAAATTTAAACGGGGAATTTGGCGACTTATTCCTAGGATTTGCTTATAAACAGCCATTCATATCATACTTGGAAGAATTGCTTGAAGAAAATTTGAGCAAGATGGATTTGGACGTAGAGTATTGTGATAGTGAAGGGCTGGTTTACAGCATGTCATGTCAGAGTAAAATCCCATAAAGATATCGTACATCGATACAATTTAAATCAAAAATTGATTGGGGTTAGGTTAGGTTGGGTTTATTTTAAATACAAGTACTTATTTATAAACATTGAAGTTTATTTAAAAATTACCTGCTGACGATTCCCGTCGTCGTAAGAACTAGCAATTTGAGGTGGAATTTGAGGTGCAGGTAACGGGCTGTCCGCTAAGATAAAATCCACAGTGCAGGATACATATAGCCCGAGTCAGGGTAAATCTTACAGCTAGTGTTCAACTTACCGCGTGACGTAAATGTTACCGATAGAGGAAAATATTTGAATATTTCATGTTATTAATAATAATTAATTAATTGGGATTTGTTATTATGGTTGTAGTGGTGGTACTTAGAGAAATATAAACTTGGCCACGTGATGCAAAATATAGTTTAGATAACTAAAACGAAAAAATAACTTTTGGTTGGATTTTGCGTTCATGTACATATTTACTTGTTTTCAAGTTTTTAAGTACACATCCTCACCTATGTATGTTTTTAAATCTTTTTATTTAGAAGGATATATGAATTACGGAAAACTTAAAAATAAAAAAAACAATTTTTTACAATTCATTTTCTTTGGTTGGTTAGTCCCGTCGTGGACCAACCAAAAGGAAACCCTGTGATTCACAGGGTTACCTGCTAGGTGCAATAAAGTAGAGTCCTTTACCACAAATCTTTCCTGGCTTGAATTCTACCCCAAATATAACCACGATCGAGATATCGTCTCTCCACTCGTGGTCCTTTAATGTCATTAATGTCACCGTCCTAATCGTCGGGGCATATATGACCGGAACATATCGGTTTTTCCAGAAAATGCAAAAAAATCTCCATTCCATTTCCGCCGCAGGAAACGAAGTAGCAGAAAGCCAATCTATTTGGAATCAACAATAAGAATTCGGTACGTCACGTAACGTTACTCACGTGCAATTCGAAACTATACAGAAGCTTCACAACGTTTTGTTTTGACTGCTCAGGAATCAGGATGAATGTAGAATGTGCAAAACTTCTATGAGCGTCGCGTGTAAAATGTAAATAATTTACGCGAAATTGGTCATCTTCAATCCTAATTTTTGCAAAAACTGTAATGGTACAAATCTCATAGAATTTAAAGTCCAGTACCATCTTATCATGTTGATTGTTTGCATCAAAAAATTCTGGTCGCCCTGAAACCGTATAAATAAGACTGGTCGGATTGTTCATGTGGATTATCATTGCGTTGAAAACTTGAGGACACCGAGGTTAGTAGGAAACGTACGAGAAAAGCTTTTAAAAACATTGCAGTTTGAACATAAAATATAACTTATTAATTCCTAATATTAAGCCCAATGCAAAAAGCCTATCTGTCTTCATGTTTTCAAATTTCAGTAAAGATTTATGATTTTTATTACCCCGAAAAACTTATATTCAGCCACCCTAGGAATATTATTTGGTGGCTGATTTTCTTAGGTTATGCATTTGCTTTCTCAAGGAATTATTTATATTTTCTGCGAAGCTTTCCGTTATCTAAAGGGTGTTGATTTAATTCGATCACCTACATTTTCCTGCGAGCGCGAGAGACAAAATCAGCTGTAATTAATGATCCCGTTAATATTTTTTTGTGAAATTTTAACCATGAGTGAATCAAGGAGTCAGGTCACTCGTGAACATCTTAGAGTTCAGATACAAACACTGCATAAGCAAAAATTAAAGACGAATAAAATATCTGAAAAATTGGGGTGCCACAGAAGAACCGTATGGAAATGGACGAACAGAAATTTTGTCATAGACAAAAATCGACCTGGGCAACCCAGAAAGGTATCACCTACTACAAAAAGAATGATTAAGAACAGACTTCATCAGAAAACTGGAAGTTCGCTTCGAAATTGTGCAAAGGAGTTGAATCACTCACCACGCTTCAAGAAGAAGTCCAAGAAAATTGACTTCACAACAGTGCACAAGTATGTAAAATCAACGACGTGGGGTCACAAAGCTTATAAACTAACCAAGGAACCAATTATGTCACAAAAAAACATTGACGATCGTCTGAAATTTGGAGCAATACTCCAAAAAGTGGCCACTTGGGTGAAAAAAAGCAAGCGCAAGACCTGAGGCGTCATATCCTTTGGACTGATGAATCACCAATTGAACTATATCCAGAATTGAATCGGCAAAATGCAAGATACAGAACCGAAAAAAAATCGGATGTACCATCGATGCGTGTCCCGAAATTTGGCCTGAAAGTTATGGTTGCAGGAGGTTTTTGTGCGCGAGGAGTGACGCCTCTCCACATTGTACCAAAAGGGCAAACAATTAATGGAAAGTATTATAGGGAAAAAGTGTTACCTATTTACTTTGATAGTATGGAAAACAAGGAACTATTTCCAAATGAGAGAAAAATTGTTTTCATGCAAGATGGTGCTACAGCTCACACGGCAAAAACAAGTATGAAGCTAATTGAAGGGAAAGTTTCAACGGTGTGGAGCAAGGGGGTGTGGCCTGGGAACAGCCCGGATTTGAATTCCTTGGAGAACCTATGGTCCATACTTAAGGAAAATGTATACAAAGATCCAAAACCTCGGACAAGGGAGGAGTTAATTACAAAGGTGCAACAAGAGTGGAATTCTATTCCAAAATCAACTTTGGAAACATTAGCCCAGAGTCTAAAACAGAGAGGTGAGGGAATGATTGAGGTCAACGGAGGAAAGAGTAAATACTAAGGTATGTCTCAAAAAAAAATTGGCTTTGGTCATAGTAACAGTCTTGAAAAACAATCGTTTTGTTTTTGCAGCCAAAAAGGTGATCGAATTAAATCAACACCCTTTATGTATGTAATTTTAATTGATCGCTTAGACAAATATGTGTTTTTTGTTGACTGGATGTAACATTAATTTTGTTAGTTTCGTAAGATTTCATTACGTTTCGTAACACTCGGTTATGTCGTGATCACTTTGTTTAATTAACGTTTTGCAAATTATGGGCACGCAAGTACTTATTAGTAGTTTCGGAGAAATTGTAAGTTTCTCAATTTACTACAATTCTTGTAAAAATTACGTGTACCTCGTGCAGCTTCAGGTCTGTTATATTTCCGTATTGGAGTGTGGTAAACTTTTTGATTTGGACAGGAAACACGCATGTTTCACCGCTTGATGGAAATTCAATTCAATGACTTATGGCATGATCTCTGGGAAGTGGTGGCGGGTTTAATGACTGGTTTACTGCGTAAATAATTGAGCCATGAGCTTTTCTTTATTTTTTTGTAAAAGCCCAATTTAATAGCTAAAGGATAGTATATAACAACCTTTTTGGAATTGGCTTTGAAGCATAAACTGGGATGAAAGTGAAGCACTCGCAAATCGAGTTTTGCAAAATTACAAATCCGTCGTCGGATTCGATTCAAACAAGACGTGGAAACAAAAGAAAATCCAAAACAACAATCCACCGACACATATTGAAGTATAAGGGTTCCGAAAAAGCGGAATTTGAAAGGATTCCACACTCTACGAAGTCTGGTTGTAATTTTCTTATAAGCGTTATCACCAATCCATTGGTGATAATGAGTATAACCACTATTTTAAGCAGATTATAACCGAATTATAACCAAATGCTAATAAACATTAAACCGGTCTGATAATCAGAGGAGGGATTTTTGGCTCTCGCTCTTAATTGAGAGTGTGAGTGAGAGGAAAAGAGAGGGAGAGATTGACATTTTTGGAGAAAGCGAGAGTGAGAGGTACAGATATCGAAGAAAGCGAGAGTGAGAGGTACAGATATCGAAGAAAGCGGGAGTGAGAGGTACAGATATCGAAGAAAGCGAGAGTGAGAGGAGAGGGAGAGGAGAACAATTGAAAAAAGTGAGAGGGAGAGGAGAGAGAGAGAAAAAACATTTGAAAAACACTCAGGTTACCCAAAAAATCTCACTTTACTCCAAACGTTGTAAAAACTATTAGAAATGATTTTCAGTGATTCCTGCAACTTTTGGGGTGAGATTTTTAAAAAAGTGAGAGTGAGAGGTAAAAAGAGGTTTACATTTTTTTGAAAGGTGAGAGAGAGAGGAGAGGGAGAGGAGAACAATTTGAAAAAAGTGAGAGGGAGAGGAGAGGGAGAGAAGAAAAATTTGAAAAAAAGTGAGAGGGACAGGAGAGGGAGAGTCAAAACAAAAGTCCCTCCTCTGCTAATAATCCAGTGATATACAAACTAGGTGTATTTTTATTTCCATCTGGTTATTATCACTACCAAAAACTTAACAACATTATCACCTAGATTGTCACCACCTTGTAATACAGACGGAAAATCAACTGGTTACGTTCTGTATAAATTTTTGGTGATATTTCTTTATAATTTTTTTCATTATATTACACATATTAAAGTGCAATTTTGAAAAGTTATAGCATTGGGCTTACGGATCAAAATCTCAAAACTGCACTTTTCAGAAAATTAGAGTGGGCGTAAAAAAATCGTACAGAGGTGATTGACACATCAAAATGCTCAGGATGACTTGTCCCAACATAATAAAAATAATAACACCAAGAAAAAAATTCATTGAGGTAGTTGATTTTTGGGTTCAGAGGTTAAAAAATCGTAACCTTTGACCTTCTCAATGGATTTTCAGTGTCCAAGCCTGATCTGACCACAAATGCGATTGACTATAATTGTGCAAAATTCGAACTTGATATCTCAAAAAATGTATGATTTATAACGATGTGGATGTGTGGCCGTGACTTATAAAGGGCAATGTACTTCATAATTTGTTTATGGTGAGTTGGTTATTTTCTCTAAACATTTAATTATTACGCCATGCCTAAATAATAGTTATATAGTTGGTCAACGTCATCTTGCTTCCCCCAGCGGAAATCAGCTTGTCAGACAACTTCCCCATAATTTTGGTGTTAATTGTTTCACCCAGGTTAATATCAAATTTTTTTAATTAATGTAAATCATATTTTACCACATATTTAAATAAATTTTGCATTTAGATTCTGGAGTCGTCGATTCAAAATAGTCCGGACCTACAGCAAGTGATCGCGGATTGTAATAATAAAGGGTGCGTTGACCAGAGCGCGTCGACTACATTGATAAACGCGTTTGTCGACATATTAGTAGATATTAAAGGGTACGAAGTCGTATAATTATTTTACATTACCTTTTGATTTCCCGATAATAATTTGTATAATTTTTGAAACAGTACTGAAAATAATAAACTAAAGATAAAGGTCTTTTGTATTTTGCTGTTGTAATTCCTCAGATCACAAAAAAAGTATCGAAAGTTCATAATTTGACAGAACTAATATATCTTTACGCGAAACAAGTCAATTTCCGAACGGTTTTGAAAAATTGAGTTTTTGCTGAATGATACTTCTGGCGAAGTCTAAAGTAGTGAAATTATTAGAAAATGACGGAATTTTGGTATCGCCTCAATTCAATTTCAATACTAAAAATCCCAAAACTGGTCAGAATATTTGTGTACATGTTGGGGAACAGTTATATTATCATTTGAGAAATGCAGGGTGTGCCGTGTGACCCAGTGTCAGCAATTACAATCGTGACAATAAACTTTTTACATTTTTCATGCTCACATTTCTGAATTTTATTTTATGGCTTAAAATAACATATTTAAGGTTCCAGCATAATTATTAGACTAAAAAAATGTCCCCGAATTAATGGTAATTAATTCAGATTTCTTGTCTAAAAAATTACTTTGGTACAGCCCCATGCAAGTGGATTACCGTAATTGATGATTACATCTAAATTAGATGTAATCATCAATTACGGTAATCCACTTGCACACACGGACAAAATAAATGCTATCCGCATATACTCAAATTAGATGATCTAATTTGAGTATATGCGGATAGCATTTATTTTGTCCTATCACCTTATATTTAAAAAAAAGAATCATTTTATTATAAAGCTGGCGACTTCTGTTTTTATAAACAACCTCGAAAATATTCAGAGATCTTCGATATAATTTAGGAAGCTGAAAAAAATTAAGTGTCTAAATGCATGTGAGGTTCGTTCATCATTATTATGAAAAAAGTTAAGTCCGAAACAGCGTCCGACACAAAGTAAAAAAAAGTTTGAAGTGAAAAATGATACTGAACTAACTACGTATATGTCCTTCCAATTATCTTCCAATTGGACCATAAGAAAAATTTCGCATTTCCAAATTTTGCCACACCCCCACATATTTGGGTCACACAGTCAGCAGAAGGGTAGACCAATTTCTAAACAACCCGCTAGGAATTTTTAAAAATTCGTCCCTCAAGGTTTTTGGCAATTCTTGAAAGGGTTTGATTTGTTTAATACGACAAACATGTAGAACCAATTTTTTTCAGTAATTCTCAGCGCCAATGTTATTATAGATATCGTAATTTTTACGAATTTGCATGCCTCCCTATTTTTACCCCTTAAACTTAATCAACTTACGTCTTCATCTTGATTCATAATAAAGATTACTGTAGAACAAATCCGAAACATCTGCTTGGCTACTTCTAACCCCACATCATTGTCATCACGTTGACGCGCGGCCATTAACATTACAGCAATTTTTTCTCCTTCGTTTTCAGAATCGATGAAAATGGCCTCGTTCCACATTATAATTCCTTTATTGAAGTCGCAAGGAAAACCACTCAGCTGTTTATCTTCTTGCCTCAGCCAACTTGGTTCGTCTGGATTTTCCAAGTAGCGCAGAAGAAAATTTACGAATGGGAATTTTGAGTTGGACCTATCGATTACTCCAAAAACAGCGACTTTAGTGTGCAATTTTTCCTTAATATGCTTGATGGCTTCAATATTTGGTAGAAGAGTTCCGCCCTCCGTAGAAACTATAAGGACAGTTTCGCCCATTTTTATACGCAATATAAGATTATATTTGGTTAATATTGGTTCAATAATATTTGTTGGGGCGGACTAATAATGTGGAAATATTTTGAAAATTCTGAAATGTATCTCAGAAATCTCACACTCTTTATTTTATTCAGCCAAATGTTACAGTAATACAGGATTTGTGCGTAGTCTCGAAGCCACCTTCCAACTCTCCTCAGTTCACATTATTACTTTGTATAGGAAGGAATTGAAACTGGTTAAATGTATCTTATAAGTTAAATAAATAAGTTGTTTTCTCATTGCAAGTACACTGCAAATAATTTGGTGTAAATACGGTGTGGTGTAGCCACATATGCACACCGCGCGGTAGCAATCCGGGTAAATTAACACCGGCGGTGTTGATATGTGGCTACACCGCACCGTATTTACACCAAATTATTTGCAGTGTAAAGTGTCTGCATACATATCTGCATTAATTTTGGCTATGGAAGTAGGTAACTATTTATAAAAAGAAGATTAGAGACAAGTGGTTGGTGAGCATTGCTAGACTCCAATTCTGCTTAGTCGTTAAAAGATTATCACGGGTCAATTCGCATGATCTCATCACATGATTTTATGCAATGTTTTAGGTACTAGCATATGACTCATTTTTCTATATCTTGAGTCAAGATTCTTGACAATATTGCAGAAAGGCCAATCTGAGTATGCTTGATACACATCTCTGAAAATAGTTACACGTTCAAGGTTATGAGCAGGAACTGGTTTCTTGACAAAACATTTTGTATAAATACAGAAGACGATATTTTTACGTGTTCATTACTGCAGTGAAATTATGGTGATCGTATGTACATACATAGATAATGGGTAAAGAAAGTAAAGATTTTGCTAAACTCACACTAAATATCGATTAGTGGTGAGAGATGTACATTTCTTACATAGTTACATTTCCACAAAAGAGAAAATATTACCTTATCTTTTGGAAAAGTGAGAATTTGAAATATAAAATAAAATAAGTAAAACCAAAACTGCGGTCAGCAGGAAAAAGTTTGGACGTTTGGAAAAATTGAGGAGACCCAGAGCACAGCCCTAAAAATTAAAAAAATAACGAAAAACTCTTTAAAAAATTTCAAGAAATTTTGATACTCATCTTTTTCAGGGAATTTTGTGAAAAAATTATTTTGAAAAAATTTTGATTAAAAGTGCGGAATTTTTTCATCCACATAATTTTCATCTGCCAAATTGTGGCGTTAAATTTTCTTTTTTTGTGGCAAAAATTCCTCATAATTTTTATTTATTTATAATTTTCATTTTTTTATGTAAAATTAAATATTCCCAAGAACTTAATGTATTCCACATTAAAAAAAAGTTATGGGTTTCTTTTTTAGCTTTACCTTTTCCCCATATTTTGCAATTCTCCCGAATAAAATCCCAAGCTTAACTTTTCCACTGAGGAAAACACTGGTTGGATTAAGTGACAATAATTCTCGTCAATTACTCCCCACCAAACTAATTCGACCAAATTAGGCGTGGAGGTTAAAATTGTGGCAAAATCCGTAAAATCAGGTCCTTTCAATAGATCCATTTTTATGGTCAGTTTCCTCAAATAAGTTCCAATTTCTGAGAAAGCATTTGCAATCGTGGGATGTAGATTGTCATCAATTCCAATCTGTAGCTCGGTAATTCTTAGATATTCGATGGAATCCAATTTTTCCTCGACTTCGGATTTCTTCTTGTCCTCGTCCTTCTTAACGATGGTGCAAAGAGAGATGTCAATTCTTCCTCGGGAGGAAATTGTTCAGCGGACGGCATCATTCCATAGGCTGGAGACGAGACGGGATTCCAAAAATTGCCGGAAGGGGAGGAGCGGCAGGATATTTTCGAGGATCTAATAAAAATATGCATAATCCTTAAATTAGTAAAATTTGAATAGCAAATTGAAGGTATTCGCGTTATAGCACATTTTTTTCAAAAATCTGCATATTTTCCCAAATTTGTGGTAGATTTTTTTTGAAAATCAGAGCCTTTTTATTGCACACATTGAAAATTTAAGTTACCAGTGCTCGATCTGTTTTAGAAGGATTTCGAAATTTTAAACCGATCTGAAAAGTTTAGACGACGGGGAAAATTGTGAATTTAAAAAATAGGACTACATTTCCAAGAAAATGGTTAATGGCTTCTGAGAAAAAACATTAAAAAAGGGTCTAATTTAAAAAAATCTCACTTTTTTTATAGACAACTTGGATATCACATTTTTCAAGAATAAGATTTGCAAACTACGGTATGTTTTTTATAATTAGAACTTTTTTCTTGAATTTTTTGGTATGTAGGTTAAGTGGCCGACCTTCTAATGCCAAATACATTGGAAATTGACATGGCCACCAATTTGTCAGTTGTTGACCGATTTTCAAAATTTTGACCGTTTTCGAAACCTTGTACATTTCTGCGAAATATATATTTTCAGATTTTTCAAATACGACCACACCCCCTTGAAATGAGGGTCGCAAGTTAAAAAACTATGTAAAATACAATTAATTAATGCAATTGAGTTTCAAAGCGGAAAAATCTAATTGTATGGCGAAACAATAAACCGACACGTAGGTCATCCTCCTCAAGGTTGAGGTGGTCACATGCCCCACCCCAGTGGGTGTGGCTCTCCGCGACTTTTCGACTTTTGTGAAAACATGCTTTGTGATGTCATTTTTCTCATCTCGATAAGGAGAAGCCGACGCAATAATTAAAATTCACAAACCGCACCGCCAGTGGGTGTGGCTCTCGGCGACTTTTCGACTTTTGTCGACACATGGGTTGTGATATGTCATTTTTCTCATCTCGATGAGGGGATCCCAACGCAATAATTAAAATTTACAAACCATACCCCCAGTGGGTGTGGCTCTCGGCGACTTTTTGACTTTTGCCAAAACATGGGTTGCGATATGTCATTTTTCTCACCTGAATGAGGAGATCCCCACGCAATAATTAAAATTCACAAACCACACCCCCAGTGGGTGTGGCTCTCAAAACAATGTCGGTTTTAACGAAACCACCGTATGTGAACCACCGTAAGTTAAAGCCAATTTAGTCTATATCTTGCCGAGAGACTTATTGGCCGACCTAGTAATGCATTACAAAATTGATAACTAAAATTGGGACTACTTTTTCAAAACAGTGACTGTTTTGGAAACCTAAGGTCGATTGGCGAAATATGTGTTCCCAGATTTTTAAAATTCGACCACACCCCCTCGAAATTAAGGTCAGAAGTTAAAAAAACATGTCCAATACAATTGGACCCCTAGTGGGACCACCCCCACTAGGGGTGTGGTTTCTAAACGTTAGTTATTCATTTGAGATGCCACGGTCGAGCTGAGAAAAATGATGTATGAGATGACCTGGTTTCGTTGAAATAGAAAATTCACTGATGACCACGCCCACTGGGGGAATGGTCTATCAATTTTATGTTCTCAGTCGAGATGCCCCGGTCGAGCTGAGATAAATGATATGTCACAACCCTTGTTTTGTTGAGATTAGAATAGCCGCCGAGGGCCACCCCCACTGGGGGTGAGGCGTGTGACAACTTGAACTATTGTTACGGTGGCCTGGGGGTCGAGGTAGACTTTCGACAGGCAATTCGATTTTTGTGTTTTGAAAACCAATTCTGTATTCATTAATTGTATTGGACATGTTTTTTTAACTTCTGACCTTAATTTCGAGGGGGTGTGGTCGAATTTTAAAAATCTGGGAACACATATTTCGCCAATCGACCTTAGGTTTCCAAAACAGTCACTGTTTTGAAAAAGTAGTCCCAATTTTAGTTATCAATTTTGTAATGCATTACTAGGTCGGCCAATAAGTCTCTCGGCAAGATATAGACTAAATTGGCTTTAACTTACGGTGGTTCACATACGGTGGTTTCGTTAAAACCGACATTGTTTTGAGAGCCACACCCACTGGGGGTGTGGTTTGTGAATTTTAATTATTGCGTGGGGATCTCCTCATTCAGGTGAGAAAAATGACATATCGCAACCCATGTTTTGGCAAAAGTCAAAAAGTCGCCGAGAGCCACACCCACTGGGGGTATGGTTTGTAAATTTTAATTATTGCGTTGGGATCCCCTCATCGAGATGAGAAAAATGACATATCACAACCCATGTGTCGACAAAAGTCGAAAAGTCGCCGAGAGCCACACCCACTGGCGGTGCGGTTTGTGAATTTTAATTATTGCGTCGGCTTCTCCTTATCGAGATGAGAAAAATGACATCACAAAGCATGTTTTCACAAAAGTCGAAAAGTCGCGGAGAGCCACACCCACTGGGGTGGGGCATGTGACCACCTCAACCTTGAGGAGGATGACCTACGTGTCGGTTTATTGTTTCGCCATACAATTAGATTTTTCCGCTTTGAAACTCAATTGCATTAATTAATTGTATTTTACATAGTTTTTTAACTTGCGACCCTCATTTCAAGGGGGTGTGGTCGCATTTGAAAAATCTGAAAATATATATTTCGCAGAAATGTACAAGGTTTCGAAAACGGTCAAAATTTTGAAAATCGGTCAACAACTGACAAATTGGTGGCCATGTCAATTTCCAATGTATTTGGCATTAGAAGGTCGGCCACTTAACCTACATACCAAAAAATTCAAGAAAAAAGTTCTAATTATAAAAAACATACCGTAGCTAGCTATATTTTTTGTTTAGTTAATACCAATGTCAACCCTTAATGAATATGCAACTCAATTGAAAAAAAAATGAAACGAAAACATTTTTTTAATTTCTCCTTTACCAACCCATTCGAAAGAACTAGTTCTTCAGGACGAATTACTTCTCCTTCGTTCTCTGCCATGATATGTATGTAATGTGTGATAATACTGTATTTTTATAAATAGCGTGTATACAATAATTAATTTGTCCAAATTGAATTCTTAGATTTTTCCTCACAACTAACAAGTAAATGCGTCTGTTCCAGCTGATATGTATGCTGCCGGTTATGCATATTAACTCCTGAGCTTACGTTCAAGTGGGGAGATTACATCATGTCTCATAAGTCACTCTGAAATCTGTAAAATAAACGGTTCCATGCAAACTACTTATATGGATACAAATTGTATACATCCAGTGTATCATACAATCTAACATTTGCATACATATGTATTTTCAAGGGTGTTGCGGTTGTAATGCTCAGATATTTATATGCAAAATTATTGCAAACATTAAACGTTTTAGCAATCCCTTATGTTATGTAGATGTACATAAATGGGGACCCAATAGGTTGACCCACACCTATTTTGAAAAATCATCCGATTAAGCTGAAATTTGGCATGGAGGTTACTAATGGTCTCTAGTGAAAGAATATGAAATTCGAAAAAAATTCAACAGGAGGGACCCTATAGGGTGACCCACACCGATTTTGAAAAATCATACGATCGAGATTAAATTTGGTAGGAAACTTAATAATGGCTTACAATTTGAATTTCTGACGGAGAAGTGAAAAAATCTTGAACCAGAGTTACCCTATGGGGTGACCCATACCGATTTTTTTAAATCGTCCAATTAAGCTGAAATTTGACATGGAGGTTGCTAATGGCTCACAATGAAACAGTATGAAGTGATATTGGAAAGATTTTAATCTAAGGGGACCCTATAGGGTAGGTAGGGGAGGGTCTTCCCAAATCGATTTTGGAGAATTGTCCGATTAAGCTGAAATTTGGCATGTAGGTAGTTGATATCGTCTAGTTGATGCAAAATAATCGGATTGGCTGATAAATGACTGTGCAATCCCTGACTCGGGCTAATGAAGGCTGCACACCGGAAGTTTTTACATCGACGATAAACTATTTGCGAAATTGAAATTGTTGTGAAATTTGCAAATTAAAACGTGTGTTCTGAAAATATCCTAATAATGGCTTGGGTACTAATTAGGGTAGAATAGTGGTCACATTCTGACATCTCCAACGCTCTGGTAATAATATGGTTACAAAAATGAGTTTCTAATTTTTACCTCACATTTATGCGGCCTGATTCCCAGACGTATTTGAGAATGCCGTTTTAATTGAAATAAAGTCCCAAATACCGCGGCGCTATAATTTAAATAAAAATTATTACCAAAAATTTGTATTTCTTTCAATCATTTGTTTGCAAAAATTTTGTGTTTACCAAATTTCACACACGAACGGATCATCCCCATGAACCTTGACCCTGTGGGATTGAAGGGCATTCTTGTGCGGAAAGGTTTCCCCACACGTATGGTTTCCCCAACCATACCCACACGTGTCACAAGTGGCGCGATATTTGCCCTCGTGCCGAACCTTGAGATGTGTTCGGAGGTCGAGTTCGAGATTAAAATCCGTCCCGCAGATGTGACACATGTGGGATTTGGTCCCGTCGCCATGGTAACGGAAGACGTGGCGTTTGAGGCTGCCGGGCTGAAAGAAGGCGGCGTCACATTGGTCACATTTTTCAGCCTTGTCACCAGTGTGGTAGCGCGTGTGTCTGAAATTGAAGAAGGAAATTAATAATTAATTAATTTAGGTTAAGTAATCAGGGTTGTGTAAGTAATTAAATTACTAATTAATTAATTAATTAGGAATTTTTTGTGGGGATTATTTTCGTGGTTAATTAGTAATTAAGATGGAGATATTTTACGTACTTAATTGATAATTCGACTTAAATCGTTTTTTGTGCTAATTAAGTAGAAAATTACAGATTAATTGAAAATCTAAAAAAAATTAAATTAGAATTATTTTCTAGTGCTTTAACTAATTAAAATTAAATTGGTTGAAAATATGCCAATAAATATGTCATAATTAATTGGCGAATTAATTAATTAGATTCAATAATTAATTAAAAAGCCCTGGATCCATATAAATAAATAATTTGGCTGAAATATGTCAATTCTTAATTGAGATATTAATTAACTAATTAATTAATTAGATTCCCTAATTAATCACATACCTCTGAATCTTAAAAAATCCATAATTCTATAAAAACAAGAAAATCCTTACATTTCCAAACCCTGCCTACTACTAAACCTCTTCGGACACCGGGAACATTTAAACTTTTCATAAACATGCGACGCCAAATGTCTCGTCAACTTTTCCTCGTCCGCAAATCTGGAATCGCACACGTCACACACGATCGGTTTACTTTCCTCGAGGTCATGGTAGTTCAGGTTGTGTTCGGAACGGAAGGATTTGGAGCAGTGGAGACAAGGAAAGGTGGGATGTGGGCTCAATGTCAATTTCCAATGTATTTGGCATTAGAAGGTCGGCCAGTTAACCTATATACCAAAAAATTCAACAAAAAAGTTCTAATTATAAAAAACATACCGTAACATCAATCTGCTCACATGGTGCCAGCGAAGGGATTGGCTAAAAAAACCTTTTAAATAGTGCTAAAAGTGATAGTTTTTGAGAACTGGTGGGTGCCACGATTTAATTCATTTCCCACTGGAGTGGCAAATTGTAGGCATACAATTATTTCGTTTGACCGCGTAAACTGTGTACACTTTATGAACTTAATACCTTCGTTCCCAAAAGTGAGAAAACTTGTACGTTTTTTTGTAACTATGTAAGCTGAGGTGTAAATTTCGTGCTACTGAAGAGGTAAGTTGAGACGTTCTTATTATTAAACTTCTTGATGTACATATACGAACTTAGGAGGCACATTGAGACGTTATTGCTATACACACACGATGAGTGAGAGACAATACCGACCAAGGGAATTCCCAGCAAAAGATAAGTCTATTAATTTATACTAGTTTACCTCAATTAAGACATTGCGGAAATTAGAAAGGAATAAAAATGCCAGCTGCAAACAACATCTTATTTCCGGACGCACAATATATGTATTTTTTATTTATTATTCATTATGATATTATTCTTAATTTATATGTATACAGAAGATGTGGACGGCCATGAATATGAAGGGTGGGGACGCGCCATTTCCCCATCAAGTTTGACACGTATCCTCATAAAAATAACTACGATTAATAATATCTATATGTATACATTTAACTAGAAAAAAATAATTTAATAATCACGTTATTTCAGATTCTGATCTTACAAAACTACCAACAAATAAGGTAGAAGGTGATGTATCAATATGGAGAAACCGCGGAAAGAAATAAAACAACGATGGACACGGATCTGTCCATAATTAAAAGTAGTTCATGACGTAGTCAACAAGTAGTGGCATATTTTAGTGGTTAATAATAATTTTATGCACAAGTACCGCTAGAATGAGAACGGAACTTATTTTATTCCGAGAGGTAAGTATTTCTTTACTCCCATTGAGGGATTTTATAATTTAGTAGTTAAATATTTAGCAACGTTGCTTTCGATAATAAAGGAGGAACGAGATCACTTAAAACATTATAAAAAGAAATACATCCAGAAAATAAAAATCAGTCTTTAACTTCAACTCAATTACTGCATTTCTTTATTGCATATTCATTCATGGAACTGCTCGTCACACTAAGTTAAGTTCATATTATACGAACAAATGAGGAGGTATTTTTATTTCATTGTCTGGAAGTTTTAGTTCTTACAGAAAGGTTTATTTATTGACTCTTTACTTATGAAGTTTTCGATGTCAATATAACCGGGAAAAAAATCGCTGATCAACAAATGTTTTATACGGGGAGAGGGTATCCCAATATTGGAAAGACCCTTTTTGATTGGTGCGTTTCAGGCGTCCTTGCAGGAGTGGATGCAGCTATTTAGGATACCTCAAGGACTGTGCAAAAACAATGTAACACAAGTGAATGAAATCATTGGCTACGTAGCATACAATTATCTTCCAACTTGTGGTGTTTTGGGTTTGATGTTCCACTTTTGAAACCATGGCATATTCGTTTTGAAAACTTGGCCGAGACACATCTTCAAATGTGTTCATTAATCAATACATATTTGGATATTGTCACGGTTGAGATTTTGATGGAAGTTTTATTTAGAAAATTAGATTCTTTCTCTTTGTGGTGGTATGTGTCATCAGGATAAAGGGAGGAAAGATGTACCTAGTTTGCTAAAAATATGTATGTGTATGCATTCATGTATCTCTTTTAATGTGCTTGCTACTCTATTTGGTCATCAGAACGGAAGAAGTGGAAGAGAGAGAAAGATTTGTGAATATAGGTAATATTTTTAAGCACATAGGTAAATAAGTATTTAACTGATGTACATATGTGTCATAAGGGGATTCTTCTGCAAAACTTATCCGAGAGAAAAAGGGGGAGATTATTATTAGAGTAGTAGCTGAATAGTCAGATTAGAGAGAGAGAGTTTGTATCATTTTCTGGGGTTTGGGTTTAAATAAATACATTTTTTAGTGTTAAATGTGTTTGAGTGGTATTCATTTTATCATGTTTCCATAGTAACTCCAACACGAATTATAACCGTGTTAATATGTACATAAATACCTGCATACGTACATATATACTTGACGAGATAAATATTTAATTTGCATCCTTTCTATTGACAATTATTAACAACGATGAGTTTAGCAAAATCTTAGAAAAAAAATAGATTTAAATATTTAGATCTAGAAGAAAGTTCGTATTTCTAAGATACGGAATTCACATCCGGTCTTAGACGGACAAAAGCTTCCTTTTGCATGTTTACCCTAGTTTGAGGTGGGTAAATACTTATTTCCATAGACTCAGATTGCCAATTATAACTATATTGTGTTCCAACCTATTTGCTTTTTGCATATTTTGAATAATCCCTTAGGGATAAATTTAACCAATCAGATGGTTTGAAAGCTTTGTCAAATGCGTTATTGAAATTATTAGATTATTTCCAGGCTGGAAAAGAGGATTAGAGTATTTTATGGAGTGTGAACGTTACGTATTAATTTAGACGTATGTAGTTAATAAACTACGTAGGTTATGGATGGAGAAGGATGGAAAAGTTTGGAAATGAGAGGACACTTCTGTCTGCGGAGAGAAATGACTAAATAAAGGCACATCGTCTATCGCTAATACAGAACCACTGTCCAAGCCTCACATATTTACTTGTACGATCATAATAATGAGTCTCACTTTCGAGTCTCACTTTTCTCATGCATAAGTTGACATAATTGTATACACACAAATACATACGCATCT